GAGAGAGAGAGAGAGAGAGAGAGAGAGAGAGAGAGGAGAAATGCCATTTATAGATCATAAATAATGATGTACTCGGTGAGTCTGAGTGCATTCAGCCATTAAAATAATAACACATATAGCAGCTCCAGCTGAGAGCCATCAATCACAGCAAATCCTAGCAATCGATACGACTGGATATTGATCAGACTCGTCGTGAGAATCGCATATAAATGATCGTGCTCATTATTAGTCCTTCGCAGAAGCATTCTATGACCAATCCTCAGATGTGCAACAACATCAACAGTGTTGGGGGTAATATATTACAAGTAACGCGAGTTACGTAATCAGATTACTTTTTTCAAGTAACTAGTAAAGTAACGCATTACTTTACAAGAGAATATCTGAGTTACTTTTTCAAATAAGTAACGCAAGTTACTTTCTTTTCCAATTTATTGATTGACAGCTCTGCTGTCCCCGTGTTGAGAGAAATCAGATGTTACTGTAGTTCTAAAATAAATATGAATATGCATTAATTCATCTCACTCACACACAACACAGATTCAGAATTCCTCAAAATGAATAAAAATAATGCAACACAGAATATGACGCAAACCTGCAATAATTAAATGTTAAACAACACAAATATGCTTTATGCATTTAATCCCATTCTATTAGCTTCTGAGCTTCGATGATGCAGTTCAAGCGTACTAATAAACACACATTACTCTAGACGAACATCTGTGTGTCTTTGTTTATTGCTGAAGTGTGTTCTTCTGTATTCTGCTGTACTTTCCCTTCAGCCTGAGGCGCATTCATTTCACTTTTGGTGTGAAAAGGCTTTTTATATTTATATTTTTATATTTATTTTAAAAACAAACAAGCAAGCCCTGTCCAGATTTAACAAGTAACGGAACGCATTACTTTCCATAAAAAGTAACTAAGTATCGTAATGAGTTACTTTTTTATGGAGTAACGCAATATTGTAATGCATTACTTTTAAAAGTAACTTTCCCCAAGAGAGAGAGAGAGAGAGGAGAAATGCCATTTATAGATCATAAATAATGATGTACTCGGTGAGTCTGAGTGCATTCAGCCATTAAAATAATAACACATATAGCAGCTCCAGCTGAGAGCCATCAATCACAGCAAATCCTAGCAATCGATACGACTGGATATTGATCAGACTCGTCGTGAGAATCGCATATAAATGATCGTGCTCATTATTAGTCCTTCGCAGAAGCATTCTATGACCAATCCTCAGATGTGCAACAACATCAACAGTGTTGGGGGTAATATATTACAAGTAACGCGAGTTACGTAATCAGATTACTTTTTTCAAGTAACTAGTAAAGTAACGCATTACTTTACAAGAGAATATCTGAGTTACTTTTTCAAATAAGTAACGCAAGTTACTTTCTTTTCCAATTTATTGATTGACAGCTCTGCTGTCCCCGTGTTGAGAGAAATCAGATGTTACTGTAGTTCTAAAATAAATATGAATATGCATTAATTCATCTCACTCACACACAACACAGATTCAGAATTCCTCAAAATGAATAAAAATAATGCAACACAGAATATGACGCAAACCTGCAATAATTAAATGTTAAACAACACAAATATGCTTTATGCATTTAATCCCATTCTATTAGCTTCTGAGCTTCGATGATGCAGTTCAAGCGTACTAATAAACACACATTACTCTAGACGAACATCTGTGTGTCTTTGTTTATTGCTGAAGTGTGTTCTTCTGTATTCTGCTGTACTTTCCCTTCAGCCTGAGGCGCATTCATTTCACTTTTGGTGTGAAAAGGCTTTTTATATTTATATTTTTATATTTATTTTAAAAACAAACAAGCAAGCCCTGTCCAGATTTAACAAGTAACGGAACGCATTACTTTCCATAAAAAGTAACTAAGTATCGTAATGAGTTACTTTTTTATGGAGTAACGCAATATTGTAATGCATTACTTTTAAAAGTAACTTTCCCCAGCACTGAACATCAATCACACGCCAAGCCTGCGATCTCCGGAAGTCAAGCGCATAATAACACAGATTACTATAAAGCACATGTAGAGATATACATATCCGGCATCCGTTCAGAGCAATAATATCTCAGTTATGAATATCGGACTGCCGTCTCATATAGATGATATGTATTCTGTAGGAGAATATAGAATCTATTTGCTAGATTAAAGCACCGCTCGGGTTCGATACGGCTCAAGCTCTATTGACAGCTTTTGTGGCAAATTGTCGATCATCAGAAAATAACTTCAACTTGTTCCTCGGTTTATTTTTTTAAAAACGCAACAATCAGGCACTTAGAGCAGAATTACACCAGCAAATGACCAGCCAATTAGTGAGGTTAACTAGTTTTAGATTTGTTTAGATTTTTTTTGCACATTTGATTTAATTAGTGTTCTGTGCTGATTCTGCTGTTAACGTGAAAAGCAAAACCCTATTCGGGTTCCTATCTTCTGTTGTTTAATGAAAGTGTATTGCATTATTTAAGTGTTTTCTGTATATTCTTCTGTATATTAGGATATACTTCAGCTTGTGGAAAGATGCTTGTGATGAACTTTCCGTGATTCTTCATGTATTTTTCTCCTTTCGTATCATTATGGTGGTTTATCAGCATATGTTAAAGGTACAAAACAGATTTAGGGAGCAGGGTGCATTGTTGAATTCACTGGTTTAAACTGCACTTAGGCCATTCACGTGGTTTCTGCGAATCTGATGAGTTTTCATTCAGCCCATCTTTTATACTGTAATATTTACAGGTTGTTCTGTAAATATGTTTACATTTTTTTTTACCACAGCAGCAAGAATTATTTTTTTTTCCCCCAATATTTTTGAAAAATATAAAATAAATGAATAGGCAAGGTAGTTCGATTTCTTTGATATTTTACCACAATATTTTGAAATGAAATCTGAGAGAATTAGCTCGAGCCAACGCTTCAAAAACTTCATGAAATGTCAGTAAACATAATCCATATAAAAATCAAGCGGTTTAATCCTAGACTTCTGAAGACACACGGCCACTTTATATAAGGATTATTAAATCAAATAGATTTAATTTAGGTTTTTAGGCATTACAACATTAGGCATTATTACTGAATAATTCATGCTATAACAAAATATGAACCTCTGAGTTACTGTAAGTGGGATTTTTCCTTGAAGAAATAAAATAAGTGAAAAGGTCAGATCTTTTAAATTATTATTATTATTATTATTTCATGTTTTTGAAAGAAGATTTGTTTGTGTGTGTTTGAAAGAAGTCCCTTCTGATCAACAGGGCTGCATTTATTAGATCGAAAATACAGTAAAAATTGTGAAATATTATTACAATTTAAAACAGCTGTTGTCTATGTGAATATGTGTTAAACTGTAATGTATTTCTGTGAGGCACAGCTGTATTTTCAGCATCATTCCTCCAGTCTTCAGTGTCACATGATCTTCAGAAATCAGTATAATATGCTGATATTTTTGTGGAAACTGATGCACTACTATTCAAAAGTTTGAGAAAAAATAAAAATAAAGTAATACTTTTATTCACCAAGGACGCATTAAACTGATCAAAAGTCACAGTAATGTTACAAAATATTTCTATTTCAAATAAATGCTGTTCTTCTGAACTTTCTGTTCATCTGTGAATCCTGAAAAATAAAATGCATCACAGTTTCCACAGAAATATTGTGCAGCACGACTGTGTTCAACATTGATAATAATCAGAAATGTTTCTCGAGCAGCAGATCATCATATTATACTGATTTCTGAAGATCATGTGACACTGAAGACTGGAGGAATGATGCTGAAAATACAGAGCAATAAATGAGTTTAACAGAGATTGACGTAGAGAATATGTGTGTGATTTGAGGCGCAGCTCTCTGATTGGTTACCTGCGACTTGCATCAGCATGGCTGCGCTGCCGTACGTCTGAACCCTGACGAAACACGAGTAGCTTCCCTCATCCGCCACACGCACTCTCCTCAGCAGCAGCGAGGCATTTCCGGACACAAGCTGATCCTGGAACAGGCTGGTGCGGTTGGAGAAGCGCTCCTCCTGATCGCTCAGCTGATCGCGGCTCTGCCAGAAGCTGTGAACGGCACGCTTGGTGTCCGAGAGCTGCCAGAACACGCTCAGATCAGACAGATTAAACTCTGAGACGCCTGAGAAAGAGCAGTTGAGGACGGCGTCCGACCCGAACAGAGCCACCGCAGGGGTGACTGGGACACGGACGTCAAGAGCTGCAGAGAGGGAGAGAGAGAGAGAGAGAGAGAGAGAGACACAGGCATTAGGAATCATACATTCATTGATCTCGTCAGATAAAAGAGATTGATGAATAATGAAAACATATTGTACGTTTCAGAACCTAAAACTTCCTCATCAGAGCAAAATGAGCTTTTATAGAAACTGGACTGCAAATATCAAAAAGTCAAAGGTTAATCTGGTTAGGATCATCCAGTAGAACTTATGCAAAAACCATTTGTGACCCTGAACCACAAAACCACAAAATCATAAGGGTCAATTTTTCGAAATTGAGATTTATACATCAATCCATCAATCATGAATAAATAAGCTTTCTATTGATGTATGGTTTGTTAGGAGAGGACACACTCTCTCTCTCACACACACACTCTCTTTCTCTCTCTCACACACACACTCTCTTTCTCTCTCTCACACACACACTCTCTTTCTCTCTCTCACACACACACTCTCTTTCTCTCTCTCACACACACACTCTCTTTCTCTCTCTCACACACACACTCTCTTTCTCTCTCTCACACACACACTCTCTTTCTCTCTCTCACACACACACTCTCTTTCTCTCTCTCACACACACACTCTCTTTCTCTCTCTCACACACACACTCTCTTTCTCTCTCTCACACACACACTCTCTTTCTCTCTCTCACACACACACTCTCTTTCTCTCTCTCACACACACACTCTCTTTCTCTCTCTCACACACACACTCTCTTTCTCTCTCTCACACACACACTCTCTTTCTCTCTCTCACACACACACTCTCTTTCTCTCTCTCACACACACACTCTCTTTCTCTCTCTCACACACACACTCTCTTTCTCTCTCTCACACACACACTCTCTTTCTCTCTCTCACACACACACTCTCTTTCTCTCTCTCACACACACACTCTCTTTCTCTCTCTCACACACACACTCTCTTTCTCTCTCTCACACACACACTCTCTTTCTCTCTCTCACACACACACTCTCTTTCTCTCTCTCACACACACACTCTCTTTCTCTCTCTCACACACACACTCTCTTTCTCTCTCTCACACACACACTCTCTTTCTCTCTCTCACACACACACTCTCTTTCTCTCTCTCACACACACACTCTCTTTCTCTCTCTCACACACACACTCTCTTTCTCTCTCTCACACACACACTCTCTTTCTCTCTCTCACACACACACTCTCTTTCTCTCTCTCACACACACACTCTCTTTCTCTCTCTCACACACACACTCTCTTTCTCTCTCTCACACACACACTCTCTTTCTCTCTCTCACACACACACTCTCTTTCTCTCTCTCACACACACACTCTCTTTCTCTCTCTCACACACACACTCTCTTTCTCTCTCTCACACACACACTCTCTTTCTCTCTCTCACACACACACCTATATATATATATATATAAGCTTACATTTATTAATATGTATTTTATTTACATTTTATTTAAACATTAACAATTAACATTATACATTAAATTAAATAAGATTACATAAATTCAAGCCTTAAAATATTGTATCAACAATATAATGCATTTTAGAGCATAACTAAAAAACTAATTCACTACACAAATGTTCATGATTTTAAATATGTATTCATTTCCATTACTTTTTTTAGGCCTTGAAATCACATTAGTTTGTTTTTTCATGTTTGCCATGACTGTGGGAATCCTGTCTTTATGGCACAAATACACTTTACCAACATAATAAGACAAATGAATAAATGAACAGGGATAGATGAATTAATAAATAAACAGTGTCCCCTTTAAGACTGACAAGCGCTTCAAGACTTGCACGGCATACACAAACATACTAATATTGACACACGGTGTTTTTGTCACTGTGATAAATAAACAGCATTTCCATATGAGATGAGGATTTGAGGCTCCTCATTAGTCTGTCAGCTCTTCGTCTAAACTAACAGTAGAGCGGTGCATCCAAACACAAGAGACGAGAAAGAGAGAAGAGATATTAAAGCCTTCTGAATGTTTGATGGATTCAGGAATAAATATTTGTTTTAATTTATGCATGTGAACTATAATTGATTATTTAACCCTCTGAACCCCGTCGCTCTTGGTACCTTCATGGTCGAAAGTGACCGAAGCCTTGAAATGTATATTTTTTTTCTTCAGTTAAATCAATGTAATATATTTTTCTTTAATAATATTTTTTGAATATTACTTAGAATTTTGAGGGGATTTTATGAGACTATGCAATATTTATAAAAATTTTATGAGCTATTTTTGGCACCAAGTGTTACTTTCTTTTTTTGTTTGTTTTGACCTGAATCATGTCCATGATTTTTTTACTGTGTTCACGTAGCTAATGCAACAAAAGCCACCAAGTGTCCTCTCATTCTGATGAAGCTATGATTTTTTAAATTTCAAAATGTTTTTTTAAGAGGCCCAGAGGGTTAATTCTTTAAGTGTGTTTGATAACTGATGCATCTGAGTGAGAAAAATAAATAAAAAAAAGATTTTTTTTTTTTTTTAAATGGCCATCTTTGCTCATATCAACACTAAATCATCCTTTCTGCCATCAGAAACCAAAGGCCTGGAGAAAAAAGGCTCTGAGTGGAGAAGCAGACTGACAAACACTGCTTACATAAGAACATCAGCCAGTCAAACAACCCTAAATTGTCAGGAACTATGAACAAATCCTGCTGTTCAACCAATACGGGACTCAGCAGCCTCAAATGATGTTTCTCATGCCTTATTTTGGTAAAGGCACAATCACAGTGCCCACGTGTCTCACCGTCCCAGCCAGGAAGAGCTCGTGACAGGAGCGCTTGACGTCACGGAAACTTCACGAATGTGTCTGTCCTCTGTGAGCTGCTCACACAATCATTAATGATGCTCAAATCAACCTCAATCTGCTGCCACACAGGGGACAGTGCTGTCAACCCGAGCGTGTGTGTGTGTGTGTGTGTGTGTGTGTGAGAGTGTGAGAGTGTGTGTGTGTGTGTGTGTGTGTGTGTGTGTGTGTGTGTGTGTGTGTGTGTGAGTGAGTGTGTGTAAGTGTGAGTGAGTGTGTGTGTGTGATGAAGTTTCAAAAGTGTGACAATGAAAACGGGAAAAGCATCTGACTTTATAATATCCCAGTCTCAGATGCTCATTGCTCAAGACTGCATAAGATCCTAGTAACAGTTATTAAACATACACACACACATATTTACTGCAGTGTAAACACATAGAAACTCCAGCTATAAACCTCACTTACTACTACTTACTACACTGTAAAAATTACAACAAAAAAAGATGTAGTTTTATGTTTCACAAGGCAGTACTTCTTCAAAATGTTATGTTTAATTCAATGTATTATTTGCTGTTTATTTGTAATTATTTGTGGATAGTTGTTTTTAAGTATTTAGATACTTAACACAAATAAATAAATAAATAATACAATATATAGAAAAAGATTTATATTTTGAATAAATGCTGTTCTTTTTATTCATCAAAGAATCCTGAAAAAAGCATCGCAGTTTCCAAAAAATATTTGGCAGCACAACATTGATAATTCTAATAATAAAGCAGCATATTATACTGATTTCTGAAGATCATGTGACACTGAAGACTGGAGGAATGATGCTGAAAATACAGCTGCACATCACAGAAATACATTACAGTTTAAAGGATATTAAAATAGAAACCATTATTTTATATTGTACTACCATTTAGCAAGATTACTGTTTTTTTCTGTATTTTTGATCAGATAAATGCATGAGCATAATGATGAGACTTCTTTAAAAAACATTACAAGTCTTACTGATCCCAAACATTTGACCGCTAGTGTATATATATATATATATTTATCAGCAGCTGACAAAGCTATGAAATGAATACTTTAAGATAAAGTAGACACATTACTGTTCAAAAGTCACGTTTGTAATGCTGAGATATAAACTTGCAATTGTGAGGAAAAAAATTCTCCAAATTATGAGATTAAAAGTCACAATTACCTTTATTTTATTTTTTATTTATTTTTTATGGTGGAAGCAACAAATCAGAATTATGAGATATAAACTCAGAATTGTGAAACTTAAATTCTGAATTCTGAGAAGAAATATTGCAAGTACGCGCTTTTTATTTTTTATTTCGTAGCATAAGCTAAACAACGCAATTGTGAGACAAACTCAGATTCTAAGAAGAAAAGTCTGAACTGATTTATAGACTTAAAGTAGATATAGAAAAAAATTCTCAATTGTGAGACTAGAAGTTGCAATTAACTTTTTTTGTTTTCTCATGATGGAAACGCGCTCCAAAAGATCATATATTTCAGCAACAACAACAAAAATGGTAAATGTTTTTGAAAGTACCACTATTTCTTCTATTTTTCCAACCCTTGATCTCTCTCCTTCTCTCTCTCTCTCTGTCTCCATCTTTCATAACACAGGCTGTAAAGCGTGAAGGTTCGATGCACGGTGCTCAATAACAGAAAGTCCTGCTGCTCTTCTGCTGATACAACAAACCCTTCAGACCGATATCAGCCCTGCTGAAGCTCAAAGGCCAGTAAGCACATGCACACACTTACAAACAGACAAAGCCTGGAATATCAGCGAGAAACACAGAGCTCAATATCTACCTGCAGAGAGACACGCAGCTTCATGTGAGCGAGCTCGATAAGAGACGCTATCAGACCTCCATCAGTCCAGCACCAGCATTATTCACAAACACACACACACACACACAC